GACTGCCATTACAGGTATCCTAATCCAATCGTTAGTAACAGTTGCTGTAATACGAATATTACATAGGTGATTATCTAAATTTTCAGCGTCGATGGGATTTGAACACCCAACCTACCACTTGGAGGGTTGACAACTTGACCACTTCACTAGGTTGCCACACTCATAACAGAAAAATTTATTTAAATTATATATTCAAAAGCTTTATTATTTTTTTTTTCTTTTGCATTATTAATTAATTAAATATACATAATACATTTAGCATAATAAATTGATAATTCTGAGTTCGAAGTTTTATTAAATTTTGTGATTAACATTTGGATATAACCAATTATTATATGTGACAAATAAACACCAACTAAATATTTAAATAAATATATTTAGTCAGTGTTTATTTGCACACCCACTAATTGGTCACATCCCAACAAAAAAATACGTTATATAGATGCATTGAGAATTGACCCAAATCAATTCTAAATTGGTAAGAATTTAAAAATGATATAGGTCAATTTCAAATTGATCTAAATTGTGAAATTATGCAGAACACATATATGATAATCTTTCATGGTCTCACTGAGGTTAGTGTTACAAGTTGATAATAATTTTGCCAATCAACTAGTTGCCAACTATAGTTGCAACTAATCAACTTTTATATCATGTAACTAAATTTGTTAATTGACCAATCAAATAAAAGAAATTAGCATGAGTTAGCCTAAACAGATGGAATGTCGCATAATTAAACTAATTAATGATTCAGTTGTTTAGTTGTTTTTAAAATTTTTCAAATCAACTAATTAGAAAGTTGTCAACTAGTTAATTTTTCAATTAATGATTTGGATCACTAACTGAGGTAGCTATAGATGTTGCGGTCCTGCATGGTTCGTGATCTGGACCGGTCTTTTGCACCAGTTCAAACAGTTTTCGATCCTAAATCGAGAACCTAGTCCAGACTGGTCAATAACTTATGAATGATCTCATTGATTAAAAAAAAAAAAAAATTTGCTGATAACCAAATTTATAAGCTACTAATTCATTAACTTATTGATTTTGTCCTAGTAACATGCTGATTCAGTTATTGCCAATCTTTCTGATGATATTGTTAGGCCCAATAACATGACATGAATACTTTGCTGGGACCTCACGTGAGAGCAGGTATGGCGATCAATTCCTTGATATGGATATTCTGGTGATTAATCGAATTAATTCGATTAATTAAATAAATCAAGAAAATAAGATTTAATAGATAAAGGGGATTTAATAGCTAAAGTGGATTTATTAAGTAAAAGGATTTAGGTGGATAAATTAGAGGAGTCAAATTAAATAGAGGAATGAGATTAATATAATTAAAGAAGTTATAATTAAAAGTTAAATATAAATAAAGGCCGAAATGGCCCTTAGAGATAAAGGATAATGTCTCGTTTTGCTTGATTAAAAAGAACAAGTCTCAATACATTGTAATTGTTCATAATAAAACCCTAACACTAATACCGTTATAAACCCTGTAAACCCCAATAATCATCGTTGTTCGTTCAAGTCATTGTTCACGTGACTTACCTACTGACTTCCGTTGAATCAAAGTAACCGAAAGCCTTAATCACCCACCAGCCAAAACTAACACCCTCTTTCGAAAAGGTTACATATCGTACGTTTAGAGATGGGTTTCATGCGTGCGCATGATTGCGGAAACATGCGCATTCATGCGCATGATTCCGTTTCATGCGCATTTTATCCCATCAAGCTTTCTCTCCTCTCGATCGTTTTTTTTTTTTGCCTTTTTTTTATCATGCGATATCATGCGCATGATATTTTAAATGCGCATTTTTCCCATCACTACGTACGTTACGCGAGATATTGGATTGTGGAGCGACTGAGTCGCAGTAATCCGAACCCAACAATATAAACTGTGATCTGTGAATTCTTATATGACCATGACTTATATTGTTAGACCAGAAACACGTGATCCATGAGTGACGATTTTGTCGTGGGATCTTCGCCGTATGACCTTAAGTCACGCTCTCTCAGCTACGTAGATCACCTACCTTAAATGGGTGTACCGGCAGTATACACTGTATCCGCTGTATACTAAGTATCGGATTGATAATTGATATCAGTGTGATAATGGGAATTAGCGGGATCAAGGGTATAATTAAAATAATCAATATAAACATTATTATCAGTATAATTAGCATAAACATTATAAGTAGTATAAGCGATATATCACGAATAAAGTGTATAACGTGTTCTATGTAAATGAAAGTATATAATAAAGGCTTCAAGCCCTCCAAGAAAAAGAGAGTTCGTGCTTGTAATGGAGTTTGACCCTCATATTTCCCTGGCCTTCGCTACCTTGTAAAACCTACGATCATAAACTCACCACTCGCCAAATCTAACCGCCTCTTATCGACTAAGCCGTTCGTAGGTTACACGACATACCTATATGTCTCGCGACTGACTCGCCGTTTCGCCCGTGTCAATGTACATGACTTACTCATGTATTATCAACGACCCTCAAAAAATTGTAGCCGGACAGATCTGCTGAGCACATGTTATTATGTGATTCGGATTTGATTATTGACAATTCAATTACTAATCAAAAAAATGTCTTTAGCGTATTTAAGAATTGTTATCAAATAATAAATATTGTCTCTAAGTTTTTTCATAAGAAGTTTTTAATGAATAACATGAATCGTTTAAAATTTATTGTTTATGCTTTTTTTTTGGTTATATTTATAGGCAAATTCAATTTTTTTATAACATTTGTTTTTATTTCTATTTTGGACTAATTTCAAAAGAAGTGCTTTATTTAGTACTATAAAAAGCATTTATGAGACTATCCAATGATCCAAAGGTTTTCAAGATGTTAAAAAATAAACTGTCATATTTATTTCATTATTATTATCGTTCTGAAAATATTTGAACTTTCGGTAATTTTTTTGCAAGATAAAATTTTATAATTGTCGTGCCAGTTTGTTCTTGAACATGATAATTTAATTTGGTTTCACATCGTAAAATTTTTTTTACTTTGATTCCTTTTACATTCAAAAAGTCTTCATTATTTGAATAGTATGACATCCTATGCAGGATTTGGGTTGTTGATCTGACATAGTAAAAGAACTTATCGTTATAAAAAAAATTTTCGTTGATTTAAATGTGCTAATAATCAATGAAAAAAATTTAAATAAATCAAATTAGTATAAAACTATAAGCATAAAAATATTAAGCAGTAACAGCACAGCAGTAACGATGGTAGAAGAAAAAAAAATTTATTCGTTATTATAATATATGGTAATGATAATGAAATTTACAAGTGCACGGTAGTAATGATAGTGAACTTTGCGAGTACACAGTCGTAATGAAAATGAATTTCTGACTTGTAATAAAATTGCGAATAGTCAAATCGAATCACATAATCACATGTACCCGGCAGATCTGTCCGGCTACCATTTTTTGAGGGCGACGTTGTTAGGTAGGATAACTCACGTGATCAAGAACTTAAACGAACAACGATTTTTATGGGGTTTATACGGGTAATAGTGTTAATGCATTATTATAAACAGTGTATAAGATTGGGACTTATTTTTTAATAAAGCAAAAAACGAGACATAAACCTTTAGGGGCCATTTCAGCCTTTATTATATTACCCAATTTCGTCTCTTACAAATGTGACTTTACAATTAATATTTAATAAACTATATAAAATTATTTACACTTATTTTTTTAAAAAATTTTTAAGAATGTTTAATTTGTCATTACATCCTCCCCATATACCTGAAATACCATCCCCGATCTAAATTGTAATTAATTGCATTTCGTGCATTTTTCACGTGAACGGATCACGTTTTTAAGGACTCAAAGTATCGTAAATGTCACTACTTCAGTTATGCTTATTTTAATTTTAGCAGGTGTTTACATGGACCTGTTCATTGAGGATTATCGTTCTTATCGCTAACAACGACCTTTCAGATAAAAATATTAGAAATGATGTACTTTATGACGATTATACTAAAAAACACAACCGAGCAATTGCAAAATAATTGAACCTAACTACTAAAGATAGTTCAATAGATTACCCATATTAGCGTGTGGTTTTTTTTTAATAATCACGGATAGGATATTTTCTATTGATGGGCTTTATAATTTTGAAGAATTTTCGAGAAAGATTTTTGATCATGTCTGGAAAAGCGTTGCAGACTTATATAAAAATAGTAGATCCAGACATTTGGGAAAATGATTTTCCAATAATAACTGAGAAAATCTTAGTAATGAAGAAATGAATACATATGACATTTATATGTGTACACATGAGATTATGTATGTATACTCCGTTAATTTCGAATCCTAGGGTTAAGATTAGTTATGGTCAATTTTTGTCGGGAAAGCGGTTATCGGAAAATGATAGAAATTTCGTTATTTTTACAATAGAAATAAACAACCAATCAAAATAAAGTTGACACAGGAGACCTCTTTTACCTAATAGCTTAGAGCCATTATTTCTTCATTAATAAAGCTATACGTTTTATAACTACTATCATGTTCATCTCTAATGTTCACGATTCACTAAATCTGGCCGAATCTTATCTGGCATAGAAAACAAATGCCCTTTGTGAACTCCAAGTTAGTGAAAATAGTAAACTTGTGTAAAATTAACTGCTTTATAAAACCTTTTAATCCCATCTAATAAAATTTGTTATACATTTAATGCAGTAATGTTATACACTTATCGTTTATGGTTTCACAAACTAACGTCCCTATGTACGTAAATATGTACACATTAATAATATAATATTGTCAAACCTCTAAACGCACCTACAATGACCAAACAATATGCATTCAGAAAAAAATAAAAAAAGCGCAAAAGCGCATTTACTTTACTGAATAAAAACCCAAGTATTAAATTTTATCAACAAAATTATTTATAACATTCATATTCTAGATTTTATATCAAGTTACTATATGACGGTTTAATTTAATTTTTTTTCGGCAAAGCACAAAATTAAAATACAATGAAACATCATATCGTATATGTCACTACATCGGTTATGCTTATTTTAATTTTAACAGGTGTTTACGTGAATATGTTCATTGAAGATTATTCATTCTTATCGCTTAACAGCGAACTTTCAGATGAAAATACTACAAATACTTCAAATACTACAAATACTACACAGTTTTTAAAATTTTCAGAAAAAGAGAAACAAAGGCAAAGATATCCCAAATTTAATGCACTTTACGACGATTATACTAAAAAACACAACCGAGAAGTTGCAAAATTATTGAACAAAACTACTAAAGATAATTCAACAAAGCTTCCAAAAGTCATTGTTATGAAGCTTTGGATGACTTCAGGATTCGGGAATAAATTACCCGTAATAGCGTGTGGTTTTTTTTATTCGTTAATCACCGATAGGTTATTTTTTATTGATGGGTTTTATAATTTTGATGATTATTTCGAGAAAGATTTTGACCATGACTGGAAAAACGTTGCAGGCTTATATAAAAATAGTAAATCCAGATATTTGCATGATGCTTGGGCTAATGATTTTCAAATAATAACTAGAGGAAATCTTACTAATGAGGAAATAAGTAAACATGACATTGTATATGTGCACTCATGGGATTATGTGTGTGCTCCGTTAATTTCGAATCCTAACTACAAAGAATGGATTAGTAGTATAATTCCGGATAATAAAGTATACAGTGCAATTAGTCAAAGGTTACTAAGGATACAACCAAATATTACCGAAAAAGTGGCAAATTTTGTTAACAATAATTTCGGAGAATATAATATAGGAATTCATTTACGAATGATAAAGAATATTCATATTGGCCACACTATAACGCCTACTGAACATTTTTGCCATGCAGCAAAAATGCTGATGGTTGGAACAGAAAGAAAGAATGTAACCATCTTTGTAGCTGCAGACGATAATAAAAATCGGGATATTTTAATAAATTGTCTTAATAGCACAATTGCCTCAAAGAACGATTCGGTTAAGATTATTCACGCGGGAAATGATATGAACGTAGGCAATTCCGTTACTGAAAATCCTGGTACAGAAGTAGGAGCTATTGTCGATTTGAGCATCCTTAGTTATTGTGATGATTTAGTGGTAACATTTGGGTCGTCGTTTAGTTTTTTGGCATCTGCAATGTCTTATAAATCATTGCCTCTATGGGGTCCGTATGTAGTAATGCCTGTCAAAAACAACAATGATGATTTTGTTATTGATAAAATATGGCTATGGAAAGCTACATTTAACGAACCTTGTATGTACTTTGGTAAACTATTTTTAAAGGAATCTGATCCTGAAACTATCAAAGTTTTCAAGACAAATCCATTTTGGATGTATTATGTTGAAGAATGTACCTAGAAATTATACGTGATTGAATTACTATGAAACTACCTTGATATTTATATTCAAACTATTTTAGAATCAAAAAATAATCTATTATTATCATTTAAGCCAACTACAACGATCTTATCTATTTGTTATATTTAGCTTAATATAGTCGGAAACTAGAAAGCTGCGCGACGTCATCACGCAAAACCGGAAACTGAACTTTCTGTATTTGCTTAAATGCAAAAGAAATAAATTTTCTTTTAAAATTCAAGTGCTTTATACATATTTATTTTTAACCACAATTACTAAGTAACGACTATAGATTTCCAAATACATGAGTGATGGTTAGAGAAAACCTGTAAATCATACTTTTTGAATATTTACTCTTAAGTTACATGAATTTTTAGTGCTCTATATATTTGTCGCGTGATGTTCGAAACTTTTTTGGGTGATTGTACAGAATTAAGTAGGGTTTATAATAAATAATTTTTTTAATTTTGACTAGAATCGAGACAGATTACCGTCAATGTTTCACAACTGACAAAAAAATTATTTTACAATACTATATCATTCTATTAAAACAGCGGAATATCTGGTACGGATTGTAAAATAATTTGTTTATATGTTGCATACTGGGCGAAGATTATTCGTACCAATTTTCATGTCAACTTCCGTTTAAAATGTAATATCTTGTTAGCTTAAATAGTAAAAGGGCATGAGCTGGTTTCATTTGTAAAACAAACAGTCAACAGCTTACTTGATTTGTTCATTCTTAGAATTCACAATTTCCAAGTTTGTAAAAGCCATACCGATCTGTAACTTTGTATCTAACATTTATGAACAGGTTTTAAGAAATATCTATTATGAAATAAATTTACAGCGTGAATAATGGGCTGACGAATCGAATGTACCTTTTTATTGTGCATTGGAATTTATATTCAAATTACTAATAGATTATTATTACATTTCTTTGCATTAACAATCAATGATTATATTATGATCATATTCAAATTATCGAAACGGGACTAAATCGTAAGTTTTTAAGCATATTTGCATTAGTTTACAAATATCGGGCTTCTATCTATAATTATTTTCATTTTGGCCCTTGTGGGTAGCATTATATCAAATTTTGCAACGAATTTTTTGTTAATAAGAATTTTTGAGCTAAATGTGACTTTACAAAAAAAAAGCGATTGTTATTTTGATTGTCACCTTATACCTGATCCTACTCAAAATCAACAATGTTGAAATCCTGACAAGTTAGCCCGTATAGTTAGGGTTAAGTTAGTTACGGTCAATTTTTGTCGGCAAAGTAGTCATCGGGAAATGATAGAGATTTCGGTATTTTTACAATAGAAATAAACAACCAACCAAAATAAAGTTGACACAGGAGACCTATTTGACCTAATAGCTTAGAGCTACGTATTCTTTCTTCATTAATAAAGCTAGCTACTATCATGCTCATCTCTAATGTTTACGATTCACTAAATGTGGCCGAATCTTAACATCCGGTATAGAAAACAAATGTCCTTTGTGCACTTCAAATTATCGAAAATAGTAAACTTGTGTATAATTAACTGCTTTGTGAAACCTTTCAATCCCATCTACGTAATAAAATTTGTTATCGTTATACATTTAATGCAGTAATGTTATATACTTATTTGTTTATCGTTTATCGTTTCACAAATTTAACGTCCCTATGTATGTAAATATGTACACATTAATAATATAATATTGTCAAATCTCTAAACACACCTACAATGACCAAACAATATGCATTCAGAAAAAAAATAAAAAAAGCGCATTTACTTTACTGAATAAAAACCCAAATATTAAATTTTATCAACAAAATTATTTATAACATGGCACATATGATAACAATATATATCAGTTTCTTAATAATTATACTAATATATTCAATTTTCTTGCTCCGACCATTGTTTGATAATTTCGAAGATTCAACTTTACACAAAGAGTTTAGGTCATCCAATCGCACACTTAGCTTTGACCATATTTATGTTATCCATCTCGATCATAGAACGGATAGACTTGAAAAATTAAATGAACTATCATCCTACCTTGGATTAGACCTTGATTATTTTACTGCCGTTTCAAGATATAATGAACGATTTCTCCGCAAATTTGGCACCGGAAATATGAACCCCTCTCAAAAAGCTTGTTATTTAAGCCATCATTTAATCTATAGACAAATAATTGATAAAGGCTATAAGAGCGCCTTAATTTTAGAAGATGATGTAGACTTTGAACTCAACATTACTGCTATTATGGCTGATATTCATCATGAACTACCTCTTTTTTGGGATGTTTTATACGTAGGTCATTGCAATGAACGTAAAGGTGAACTCGTTGGAAACAGCTCGTATGCCCATAAATTATATAAGTCTATGCGGCCCGCATGTATGCATGCTTATGCCGTTTCGTATTTTGGTGTTCGCAAGTTAGTTGAAATGCTTGATCCTGTAGTTCCAATTACGGCGATTGATAATTCTCTTCCAGATTTAATTTCAAACAAGAAAGTCACTTCATATAGTGTTCATCCACAAGCTATTGCGCAATGGAAAGCTGCTGACAATCCATCTGATATCCCTACATCATGGTCAACACACCATAGTTTATTGAATTCAACTTTACACTTTCTTGGGTATAAGGGGGATAATGGCATTGGTAAATAATATAAAATATGTTTTTTCACGGAAAATTTATTTAACTTTTGAATGATAATACTGTACCTTGGGAAATTTATTATCCAAATGTATTTTTAATGTTTAAGAGTTCTTAGAATTTAGTATTGAAATCGGTCGATATTGAATAAAATTTAGAACAATTAAATTATACTAGATAAGGTAACTGCGCGACGCTATCTCTCGATACCAGTAACGTAAATTTATGAACTAGCTAGAGAATGCATATTTAATGGCAATGTCATTTTTTTTTATTTTGCATTAATTGTTTAAATAAATTTAATTCAAGATGATATTTTGGTATTTTTTACTGTTTTTTATCCAAGATGTACCAAATTTTTCTACATTTTTTATTATATTAGCTTATTTTTACTTTCTTCTAATCTTATATCAGCCAACAAACTATCAGTTTGCATTGTTTAGATAATTGTTTAATGATATTTGAATTATATTTTTGATTTTGACTCATGAATGTTTGTATATTTCATATTAAAAAGGTTGAATAAGATAGTGTTCATGCAAGATGAGGTCAGAAAGATCAGTATATATATGTAGCTTAGTATTGTTTTGATTGATAGATATTTTAAACCTATTTTTCAAAAAATGTTTTCAAAAGTAAGATAAGAAATTTTAAAGTATTACAAATTTATTATAACATGTATTTGTTTCTATAGAAATGGAGTGTTGAGAACAAAAACTTGAAAAGTTGGATTGTCTTTTACAAAGTCATTTACCATTTGAAGCTTGACTCACACAACTGTAAAAGATACTATAACTAGGGATGGGAAAATCGAGGATTTTTCAAATCTATTGCACAGGCTGCGCAGCCTGCACAGGCCTGCATTACAGCTAATGCAGGCCAAAATTGTTAAATTCTGCGTTATTATGAAAAATTCCAGGCTTCCAAAAAAATTCGCCTGCGCAGTGTCCCATCCCTAACTATAACTTGTGCTATATGTTGGATCTAATTTTTATTAACTTAATTCTTTATATAAATAGGTTTTACTATCTGTCTACTTATATTATCTTTTTTGTTAACTACTAAGAATATATCTTTTGACAAAATAAAAGTTGCATTTATAAGATTTATAAAATACAGATTTAATAAAAAAGAGTTTTCTTAAAAAAGAAAAATTCTTCAATTAAGAAAATAATTAAATATAACATTTTAAATTTATCTTGTAATATTTTGTTTGCCTCTAAGTAGGTTGTTTATTAATAGCAAATGTTAATTTGTAAATATGTTAATGATTTGTCAAAAAGTTAAAGAATATTAAAACTCTTACTAATAGTTTAGTACTAGTAAGTTTAAAGGTAATAAATTCTACTGCTTGTTATTTATTGAGCTTGTTGATGTAGTTTTATATTATAATGTTTAAATATAAGTTAAGATGTAGATAAAAATAGTAGCTATGACATTTGAAATTGGTTAAGATATTATTAATCTTGTAAACAGATTTTCTGTTATAAGCTTATTAAGAAGAGAAATAGAGATTTATTTATTAAAGAATGTTTTATTATTGTTATTTTTTATAATATAGATGGGTTAATTTTAGGTTATTTTCAAAATTTATTTTCTTATTTTAGAAAATCTTATATAATTTTTTAAAAATATTATTTAGTAATTGTAAAAATTTGTGTTGGTATTGAGGTTTTGAAACTGTAGTAGGTGGATTTGTATTTTTTGTTTCTTTTTTTTGTTTTAGATTCTATTTTTTTCAGATAAGGACAGATTTTTTTTACAAGCATGAATATGGAAGTTTGTTAATTTTATAATTTCATTTTATTATTCTTATAAATTATAAAATTGTTAGAAATCTATTATAGTAAGTAAGATTTCTTTGAGATAAAAGATAAATTGCTGTCAAAGTTGGTATTTTAGAGAATTAAAAACTTTAGTTTTATTTAGTACTTGAATAAATTGATAATTATATATTAGAAAAAATTATTTAAACTCTTGTTTTAAATAATCTAAAGGGTTTTCAAGAAATGAAATATTTAGGTTTTGATAAAAGAGTGTTTTTAAAATATTAAAGTTAAGATAAATTATAAATTTACTATCAAATTAATTATAATATATTACTTGTTTTTATCAAAGTCAAATACTTTTAATGTTATATTAACTCTTTTAGGTTGAAGTTGAAAGTTTTTAGCAAATTATATATAATCACTAGCTTGATAGTTGTTTGAAAGATATAAATAAATATGGGCTAATTAATACAAACTTGAAAATAATTTTGTTTTGTATATAAAGAAATAGTTGCTAAAGAGGCAAAGATTTTAAAATAGATTAGTTTTGTAAAGAGGGTTGTTATAATTGCAAAAATAAGTTTTTTAAGAGTTTCTTCAAGTATATTAAAAAAAATAATAATTGTTTTATCTATATCAGAATTAGTTAAATAAAATTAATAAGAAATTAAGATCTATATTTAGCAATTTTGTGAATAATATAATAAAAACTAGCTTTAAAAGCCTTTGGCTTAAAAGTTTCAGATTAATTTCTTTATTAGAATAAAAGTTATTCAAATAGGATTTGAAAAAAGTTAAAAATTTTTTTAAAAAATTCTGTTTGAAGTTGTAATTTATCTTTTATATTATTAGAAACTAAAAAGTTAACAAGTCAGTCAAATATTGGGTTAGCTATAATGTTTTGTTGATTATTAGTAGTATTAGGTTGTTTTTGCTATTGTTGTTGCTTGTTTGTTTGTTGCTATTGTTGCTATTGTTTCTTGAAATAAGATAGGTTTTGGTATAGCAGTTGTTGTTACTAATATTGTTATTTGTTGTTATTTTATTAATAATATTATTGTTCAAATCTATACTATTTGTAGCATTATTGTTGTTATTAGCTGAGATTATAATAGTAAGTTCCGATATTAATAGATTGTAAGAGCTGATTGTTTATTAAAATTTTTGAATAGATATTGTGAGCCTAATTTTTGGAGTCACAGGTGCCCGAATCGGGGTAACAATTCTTACCCGATCCAAGGTCACATGAAAAGTAACAGAAATATTACTTATGGCACTTATGGTACTTATAGTACTTATGGCACTTATATCACTTCTGCTACTTCGGCCATATATGCGTTAAATGGCATATCGGCCTTTTATGTCATTTAGTGAATATATGGAGTATCTGGCATTTATGGCATAAATTGATTATGAATGTAAATAAGACATTTATTATAAATAAAGGGTATTTCACCCTAGGAAGGTTAAGTCATCCCTGATACAAATAAAACTTTCAATATAAATAAATATTTGGTCAATAATAAGAGTATAAGTGCAATAATAAACTAATAAACTATCTTTAACCCCACTGTTGTTCATATCATTTGCTCATTTATAAACCACTAAACTCGCCATTGATCGCTCACCACAAGTCATGTAACAAGACCAATAGCATAATAGAAAAGTTCCAACTCTGATTCGACATAGTGTAATCCTGGATTAAAGCAGACAAGAGAAGACAAAGGTTAATAGAAGAATCATTTAAAGGAAAGACTTGAGGAAGAAGACTAGTACCTACCTATGGATAAACCACCTGCCAAATCTAACGCCCTATTTTGACTTAGCCACCATAGGTTACATGAGAGTTGGATTAGTTTAGTAACAAACTCACTGATTTTTGGAATCACAATATAAAAAAAAACTTGCTTGTTGACTAAATTATTGTGTATTGATGTAGGCTTTATAATAAAGTTTATTATTGTAAATAAAGTAGCATTTGTTATCAGATAGTGTTGATTATTTATTTTTTTATATTATATATAGCATAGAGATGGTTATATATAGTAAATAAAGGTGATGCTATTGGTAATAATAAGACAAACTTAGTAGAATTTGCAATAGTGTTGCTAGAGTTTTTGTCTTTAAGATTTTAATAATATTTGTAATTTTATTTTATTTATAGATTTGATTAGTTGTTAAGATAAAGTATATATAATATTTGTCACAAAAGTATATAATGACAGAACTGGATTCAGATACTTTAAAGTAATGACTACTTTTGATACTTTATCTAAGTTTAGTAATATTACAGTTTTTAGATTGTTTGTTTACAGAAATAGGATATGATGAGGTTGTTGCATCTTTATAAATACCAATTCTAAAATTTTTAAAACACATTTGACAAAATTAGTCAAGATTGATAGTATGAATACAGTTGTTATCAGAGTTGGTATTTTGGTTAAAATTAGATTGTTAGATATGTTTTTTGAAAAAATTTAGTCTATTTAAAGGTTTTTAAACTAATTAAAAAAGTTTAAAAAAGAGTTTAGATTTCAAATAAGCTGATTGAATATTTAGAAAATTTTAATGAGTATCAGAAAAATGAAATTTTTAAAGCAATTTAGCAAGTTTTTCTAAAATTACTAATAAAAAAATTTGCAAAAAGCAAGTTTTTGTTTTATTTTTATTTTTTATTTGTATTCCTATAAGGTTTAGTCTTTTTTTAATAAATATATATTAAAATGTTTATCTTAATAAGCTAAACATCTTTTAAATAGATAAGAAATAAATTTAATTAGTAAAATTATATATAAAAAGACAAAACCAAAATACTTAGTTTTTAGACATTTTATTAGCAGCCAAATGCTATTGAAAATTAAGACACAGATGTCTAGAAGAAGAAAAATATGCTAAACAACTTTACTTAAAAGATCAAACAAAATTTACTTAATATAAAATTAAAAAATAATCAAATAATTTTTTGTAGTTTTGGTATAAATAATCTATAGAGAGAGTTATTAATCATGTGTATCTATTTTGATTAATTAATTTTTGTAGTTTTATAGAATAAACTTTATAATAACAAATTATATCTAATCTTCAAAGTTTGATAATTTGATGAGATTTTAACTAATTTTAATAAACTTATTACTGTTAGAATTATAAAAATCTGATTTACAAATTGTTTAGAAACTTAAAATAGATTTAATTAATAAAAGGTTTATAATTTAAATTATAAAAAAAATTACTATTAAGTTTAT